GAGAGAGAGAGAGAGAGAGAGAGAGAGCTTTCTCCTCACACATAAACCACACATGCAATTCGCTCACTCTCGCACGCAAGCTCTGTGCGCAATGTGCGTACGGGAACGTCGAAAATACACGAGCCGAGATCAAAGCTCCAGAGCGACCTAACCGGGAAAGATGGTCGCGTGCGCTCCATAAGAGAGAGAAGGTAGGAAGGAAGGAGGGATGGAGGGGATGGTTGGTGCGATGAAAATGCGCTTTATAAATCCAACGGGTCGGGAAGAGTCGAGCTTTCACACCTAGCTGCTTACAGGACGAAGAAAGCGACGACGACACGGTCCAGAGCTGCGTACTATTCCGCAGTTAGCTATGCTCGCACAATCGTGATTATCCGCGTTAAAACATGGAAAACTCGTTGCTCCGAATGAATAAGAGAACGACATGGGGAATAAGGTAACGCGAGTTATCTTGTTTGATGTGGTGTTCTCACAGAGAAGACGCACGGATGTACATTGACGTCTGAAAGTTCGCAGCTTTGCTAAATTGCACGTGTTTGGATTTCGCTTTATCGTTTGCCGAAGTGCGTTAGGTGACTGGTTGTCATTAAGATAAGATGTAAGTGCCGGGTCAAGAGAGAGAGAGAGATAGCTTAGAGTTAATAGATTTCTCTCGAACAAACAAGCTATCGATTCGTGCAATAAATAATGCCTTTGCTAACGTATCGCGCGCGAGCTTTGCTTCGATTGCGTTCACGCTCCAAGAAGCAGACCTGCTTGATAACGATGAAAAATGCTTGGCACTTGATTTTTACGTTTACTTGCTAGATACGTGCTAACGGAATACGAAGTACGTATGCAGTTACGATCCTGTAAATTGGTCGCTTCGCGAGAGACATATCAAACGAGAATATAAATTTCTACGAACAACAAAAATCAAACAAAAATCGCATAATGACCGTGTTAAGCTTTCGCGTGTTTAAGCTGTTTTAACTATCATCCTTCTATTCTTATTTTACTAATAAATCGTTAATGCATGTTGTAAGTGTTGAGAAACACACAACATATGTTTGTAAAAATTATAATGATAAAATTAATATAATTAAACGTATAATAGGATCTGAAAGATTGAAAATTTAATTTCGAACACTCCTAAAGTGTGCAGTGTCAAAATTAAATGAGTATGTAATATTATTTCTACAATTAAACAGTATAATGTCCAATATTTTAGGAAATATAAGGAAATAAGAAAAAGATATATATGATGATTTAATATTAAACGAATATTTTCTGTCTCTAATAAAAAGTCAAAATTTGTCGCAGTTCAGCACAATCAGTAATAGGTCTGTAGATTTATATAGACTTACACTGAATGCATCGAATCATAAATGCGTCGAACGATGCATTTATGACTATCCACTTTCCTGTAACGAGAGGATTGTCTAAGTTATCCTGAGAAATCTTTCTTTCAAAGGTCTGCGAGCTACAGTTTTCTTAGTCATAAAGTGACTAACTAGTGCGTTTAGATGTACCAATATTTTGTCTTTCTGTATGTTTGAGCTACAATTTCGTCTTTGATAGTAGGAATATTTAAGTCATGATGTGCAAAATTTCGTCCGTTATGAATCAACATGCATTGATAATATTAATAAAATTTATTAAAATTTGGAGCATTTTTTACTGGAATTCTTGAATAATTTCAATATTTAAGTGAAATATTATCTCCCAATGTTGGATCCCATATGTTCAGATTGGTTTAATTATGGTTTAATTATGGTTTCGGTAGGAGAACTTTACTTTCTAAGCTTAGTTGTGAAACAAATACTTCTAATATAATTTAAAACGAAATTGCATTCAAAAACTAAAAACAACGAAATTCCAAAAATCAAACTTATTCCCGTAAATTATTCATCTTTGATGTGCGAATGTCAATCACACATATGTTTAATCCACATATGTCAATCACACATATGTTTAATCCACATATGATTTATGAAGAATAAAATATTTAAAAAGTGTTATATATATAAATATATATATATATATATATATATATATATATATATATATGTGTGTGTGTGTGTGTGTTATCTTTGTACATTATATATAATTTATTTGAAACATTTGAAATATTTATTTGAAACTTATTTAAAATACTTATTATTTATTTATTATTATTTATAAGTTTTTAACACTAACTTCAAAAAAGAAGGTTTTCAATTCATCCTGTATACATGTTTGTTTGTTTGTACATTCCCTCATAATTCAAGAGCTGACTCATGCCGACTTTTTTAATATTGTTAGGATATTAGAATAGAATTATACAAGTACACGTAGGAGTATCAATTCAAAATTATTTCTTACTTTCATTTATTATTTCATACTTTGTAGAGTTTTTGAGGTTTTCGAGGGAGAATAGTTTATATAATATTGTATGTTATGATATAAGGTGACCTATCCAGTAAGTAAACACTTAAAGCTTGTAAATGAACACTTCAGCATCAAATTCCAATATGTGAATAGACGAAGCTAGGTTAATCTTCTACAACTTACTTTTTTGGACATAATTATATAACCTGTAAGTTACCTCTGATTTTTCATTTGAACCATTTTACCACCTGAAAAAGTACCTAACCCTATATCTTAAGATTATAAATAAAATGCAAACTGTTCATTCACTGAATGATGTTCAATTGAGCAGGTCACCTTATCATAATTTTGATTTTTTTTATACAGCTTCTATGAGAAAATAAAACCGATAAAATTTTAAGAATCGTGAAACACACTAGGAAAAATAAGGAAACGAATAATTTAGAGGCAAATGAAAGCCAGCATTGTGTTGTTGGAGCGCAAGTATATTTGTATAAAAAGAAACGGTGTTTTAATATGCATCAAATGTTTCAATTCCTCTTTAGACTTTTTTGCTAACAATGAGAAAAATAAGAATTCGCAGATGGATGTAATTTGCTCGAAATCATATTTAATCGTTACTCCATATTTCACAGAACAAAGGATTCCGCTTAACGATGCCGGAAGACTAGTCAAGGTATCACGACACTCGTAACTGGGACACTCGTCGCGACAGCAGGTGCATCAACACGCTCTATCGTACGCGCTGTCGCATTCGGCACAGAAGTGCAAGTATAGGTACACAGAGGCATATATATATATATATATATGTATATAGGTTGACTGAACTGACCTTGCGAAGAAGGCTGCGGCTGCGCTGGCCTGCGCCGGCGTCCCGGGTACCCCGCTCACGTTGTACGAATACTTGGTCTCCTGGTACACCTGATACGCGTTCGGTGGCTTCGAGTGCGACGATCTGTGATAGTAGTGATCACCGTGATGACTCTTCTCCGGTTGCTGCTGGCCGACTTTGGCGAGAGCGTAACCCTGCGCGATCGCCGACGCGGACGGGACCTTGCCGTGGCACTTGTCACCTTTGTCACACGAGGGTGCGTGAAGAAGATGTGACTTCTCGTGCGCGGACACCAGCACCGCCGCCGGTTGCTTGTCCACTGTGCCGTAAGATTTGAAGTCGGCATAACCCTTGAGCTCGCCGTAGTAGCGCAAGTTCTCGACCTTGTAACCGTGGCCGACGTCGTGGCCCTTGGCCTTGCCGACCACGATCGACTCGTGCTTGTAGCCGGCTTCCTGTGTCGACTTCATTCTCTCCGCGCCGCACTTGCCAACCGTTGCCTCACCGCCACCACTGCTGCCGCCGCTACCAGCGTGCAGAGTAACCTTCCCCGAGAGCTTCTCGATCTTCAGCATGGATCTCTCACTGAGACGACCTTGAGCCGTGTCGCCGCCGGCCCGATTCGGCTCTGACCCTGTGACCTTGTACTTGTCGCACGCCGTTATCTCGCCGCACAACCCGCCGCCGTCCAGGAAGACATTACCGACGACACCGGCGGTGGTAACGTTGCTACCACTAATCCCGCGAATCTGATACTGCGGTTGTTGATGATGATAATGATGATGGTGACTCTTCAGCGACTCGACGTGATACCGACTCGAGGGTAACGACGCGTCACAGTCATCGCCGGCCTCCTGTAGCAGATTCTCTTTGCTGCTGCTGCTGCTGTTGTTGTTGTTGTTGTTGTTATTGTTACTGCTGCTCAGATTACACGTCTTGTGGGAGAGCCGTTGTCGCGTACTAACAACGCGTGTTACTTCTCGCGCGGTTGGCGTGATACTGGCCAGATTAGAGGGCGTCTCGGCGCCATGAGTGCCGGCGTTCCCCCTTCCTGATCCGGAATTACCGCCGCCGCCACTACCGCCTCCACCGCCGCCGCCGCCGCCGCCGTTGCCGCCGTTGATTCCACCGCCCCCGCTGCCACCTTGTCGTCTGCCCCGCTCCTCCTGCCGAATGATAACGCGACATAGTAGTCGGCGTGTAGTACTACGATTCATACGCGCTCCACCGTTAACATGCCGGATACCGCCACCACGTGAGCCGCCGCGAGGACGGAATAATAATGATGGAGCGCGATCTCGATAGCGAAGGCGGACGGTAGTCTCTATTGGACTACTTTCTTCTTTGCTTTTTTCATTTTCTTCAGAAAAAATTCGATTTAGTTATCATTGATCGTCACGCGTGCCGTAACTTTTTTTACAATTTACATTGATACTTAAACGGCCGCTGTCACGTATATGTGTAACTTTATTCTGTCAACGATTATCGCTTTAACACCAGAAAGTCTGACAGAGTTCCTTAACTCCTTTAAGACCTTTCTGTTATCTCACTCCTGTTTTTCGTGGTTTAGGAAATAAATCGTACTACTAATTATTTTTAAAGTAGATCGCGTTGAAAAAGTATATAATAAAAAATTGATGATGTAATAAATTATTTTATGATTTTTGGATTAAATGTCCAAGAAAATTATTATGACTCTATTTAATTGTCAATATTATAAGGACAGTATACAAGTTATTTTTCTAATTTTAATTTTTTAATGCCAATTAATTCATATTTTATTCTGTGTCCATTCACCAGAATTTTTTGTAAAGAAAATATTGTAGTAAAAATTACAACAAAATTTTTGTAATTTTAGACTATACAAAATTATAACCGAAATTACTATATATTTGTTTAAAAATATCATGTTAAATGTTATACTATATTGACTGCTTGATACTTTTTACTGCAAAATTATAATTACTTAAATGTTCTTTTTATATCGTATACCAGGTAGTCGTCAAATTTAGTATTTCTATAGCAACAATTTCAGTACAACCCAGTTTTACAAAAAACTGTTGTTCCTGGGCATTCTAATGTTTAAACATTAGGGGACGCACAAAGTGATGCCAAAGTGAACGGCAAACTCCAAAAGTATTGGTAGCATAGAAGTGATCGTCAAAATGTGATGTGTAATGCGCGCTGTTTTGTTTTACTATATTTAGCAGAAGATATAACCACGCATCTCTTTCTGCAAACTTTCCGTGTATTTTCGAGTTTCTAAATTCAGTTATATATATACAACAACGTTCTTTGAAACTTTCATGAGCGGAGTAAATACACCTTCAGTGTGTACAATCTGTAAAACTTTTATAGCAATAAATATTTACGCTAACCGGCAGGTTGAGATGTCAATTTTGAAATTTTTTATTGTTTTCGTTTACGTATTGAACAATGCTCCAATTAATTTTTGCACGTACTTTAATTATCTAAAGGCATTTATAATTCTGTGCAACCAATACATCTCTTCATAGTCGGTGACTATAAAATTTCTACGCGATGGTTGCATCGAAATACTAAGGCATTTACTCCATAACAAGTTTTCAGACCGTAATTGTTGACTTAATTTCTCAAATGATTTCACATTGCATAACATATATTACATGATGTGGACAAGTGATCTCTATTACCGCGATCATTCGATGTCACGACGTCGATCGATAAAACTTCCAAGTGTCCCATACACACCGACATCGTTCAATTTTCAAAGGACGAGATTTTCTTATTCTACGGCTTACCTGGATCCTCTTAAAGTCATCTTGTCGTATGGACACCTCGGCGTACTTGGGCGGATCGGCGTGATACTTGGGCGGCAGCTCCGATCTCGGCGGCGTCTCCTGATACCGCGGTGGCCTGTCGAAATGTCGATACTTGGGCGGATCGATGTACGGATTATTCCGGTGCCCGTAGTAATTCGGCAGCTGACACTCCGTGAGATCGGACTGCGACCGGTTGAGCTGGCAGTCCGACGGCGCGCTCGCCTTCTGCTCCTGGTGACTTTGCCTGCCGTGCTTCGCGGCTTGCGACCTCTCCTGACCACCGCCGGCGTGGGACTTGTCGTGGGACTTGGTCCCCTTATCGCCACGCTCCTTGCACACCTCGGTCTTCTCCCTCCTCTCTTGACCGGATGGCGGCCCGTCAATCTCGTAGAAGGTCAGCTCCTTCTTCAGCTTCTGATGCGACTTGTCGTGCGGTTGCCGCGAGTTTTCCGATTTCAGAGACGGCTCTATCTGGTAGAACGTGAGTTCGCGCGAATCCTGAGACTTGGAACGTATCTCTTGCGTGATGTGATGCTGCCGCTCAGGCTGAGAGTGGCTCCGCGAGTATCGCTGATCGAGCCTAGCGCCGTCCTGATACTTGGACTGCGATCGTCCAAATCTTTCGTTGACGTCGAGTCTGACTGAATTATGACCGTACTCCAAGTACTCGTCGCCGTATTTAAAGATCTGCCGCGGCTTGTACTTCTCCTCAAACTGCGAATAGTTGTAGGTATTGAAGCCGACCTGATTGAAATTTCTGCTGAGGTTCGTAGAGTCGTAGTCGGTCGAAGTCACTGCTTCCATGTTTATCTGAAACAGAACGGAGGTTCGTTAGCGACTAATCGAGGAGGAAGGAGGATAAAAGTTACGCATATTCCGTCATATATTTAAAGAACAACAGGGTTGTATGGCTCCAGAAATATGTTGCTCAAAGGTTTTTTTTTAGTATTTATCTTGAGAGGAATAGTGGATCGCAAAATGGTCCTTTTAAAACATAAGTATTTTTCCTAGAATTTCATTAAAATCGAAATAATATTATAGTTAAAAAATAAAAAAAAAACTAATTTAGTAATAACAAAGTAAATTTTCGAGCTTCTCGAAATTTTGTATTAATATCCTCCATTATGATTGAAAATTAAGCGATTACTAGCGTGTTACTAGCCAGAATGAAATTTCTTGCAAATATATAATATACTGTTTCTGATGATAAATGAAATTTTCGTTTATAAAATGATTGAAATAGAGGACGAACGAGGTAAAGTTGGTCCATAATTAAAAGCTGACTAAGAAAATAAGGAAAACTGCGGAGACCTGTCACGGAGACTCTTGAATTACTAATCAGGATACATATTTTATATATAGCCATCTTTATTCTACATTATACTGGGCAACTGAGCTCGGTACCAAGGCAAAATGGCTCTGTTACTGCATGTTCGTACTTTGGTTATTACAAAACAAAATATACGGTTAACAGAATCGTGACGGGCATTAATACATAGAAGAAAGTTACCTCTATCATGTTTATACAACCATGTTTATAATCACAACAATTAGTCATACACTCGCGTGACGCGCGCGTTTTAACTACAGTACAGCTTTATTTTATACCTTCAAGTTTAAAATGAACGTTCGATGTGTCCTACGGAGGAAACGGAAAGCTCGTTGACGGATGGACCTCGAGACGAGTATTCTCGAAGTGTCCGCGTGAATCGCGCGAAGATTCGAGAAAGACGAAAAGGAGCAAGAAGTTGAACTCGAGGTGGCGGCGGCGGCCATAAATCGGGGAAGGCCGTCTTCTTAAACGCCGGAGTATTTAGCGCGAAACAAAAAGCCACCGTGAGATAAATAAAATCTGACACCAGGAGGGCGTGCCGTCGCTATCTACCACGTCGTGTCTTGAATAAAGTCTCGTTTTCTTTCTTCAACGAGGGGACAAAAATAATGCGTAAGAAACCCTGGCGGAAGAGTCCGAGAGGGTTGAAGGGGGCGGCTCGGAGCTCGTGTCGAAAATCGAGCCGTGGAAACCGGTTCGCACCTCAAGACTCGAAGGCCGATTGGTACACGTGTATACAGGATGTCCCACGGAACACTCGTACACGCGTTCTTTCGTCGCTTTAAAATTAAAATATTTTTTTACGATAATTAACGCTCCTATTGTACGGTCTTCTTGATTCGTGAGGTCAAAAGCGAGAAAATACCTGCTAAAAATTACTGCGAAATGCGTTGAAACCAAAAGAGATATTTCATAAAATATTATTTTATTTCGACATAAAGAGATATTGTAATAAAAATTACGTTAAAATTATATTCCTTTTTACAACGTTCTTTTTATAAAGCTTTTTATAAAGAATTTTTGTTAAAAAAACATTCAAATAATTACAACAATTTTGTAATAAAATGTCAAAAGAGCGTAACATTTTTAAATAAATATATAATAATTTCTATCTCGTAATTCTAGAGATTATAGAGATTATGAAATTTTTTTGTTGCAATCGATAAAGCAAAAACTCTTTTTGTTCTAACAATCAATAAATTAGTATAAAATTAACATGATAAAATCATAAAGGAATATTGGTTAAAAAAGTAGATTACATGTCATATTAATTTTACGGTAATTTATTGATGATTGGAACAAAAGGAAAATATTTAGACTATTTTACAGATTCGTTCGATCGACTACAAGTGTTACTTATAATGTGTATATCTTTTTATTTCAACATATTTTTCAAGAATTTCCAGCGTGTATTTTCTCGCTTTTGACGTCATCCGCACTAAGAGATCAAGAACCTTAAATCAAGATCCGTGGATGTGGCATATGTCAGAGACGCTGTTTCTTCGCGTTTCTCTGGTGAATTTGGTCTTTCGGAGTAAAAGTTTAATTCAATGCTATCTCGTTCTCCGAGACCTCTTGATATTTAACTTTAAACAGTTTTGGACTTCCAGAACTAAAATACTTTACGAGAGGTTAAAGTTTTGTTTAAACGTGAGCAAGAAGGTGATTTTGTTATAGATACGCCATTTTATATATAAATATTGAGATTTTCATACATTTTATTTAAAAATTGTGTTCTTTCTCTATATTTCTGCTTAAATAGAAATTTTAACCCCATTTTTAACCCTATTTGATTTTATTTAATCTACTAACTTTGTCGAGGAGTCCTCTTTTAGAACCTACACTGAGAGAAACAGTTTTGCTAACTTAACAAAATACCGCAATAAATGATTTGTTGATATGGGACAAAAAATGATCTCTTCCGTAGTGGGAACAAACGACTTTTTACTTTCAATTTGCTATTCTAAGCAACACTTAGCAATACTTATCGCAAGCAATATATGTTTGTTAAAATGATAGATAATTTGCAACAATAATCGTTCGATCCGCTGCTCTAACGATCATCAAACGGCAAACATGCTTTTGTTCTAATATTTTTCTTATTGAACAAGTAGAATTTTTTGCGTTTCCTATCATTTGCAGACGCTAAGTGAAATATCAGTTTCTATGTTCATTAAACATACACTAATCCTTCAGAACATACAGATGTCAAAAAATTCAAGTCGAAAATAGGACCAAAATTTGTAAATTTCTTGCCAATATTCCTGAGTCGAAATTTTGATCTCACTTTCGATCTTAATATTTCACTTAACGACTACTTTGGTACCCTAAAACCTCTATCAACTTTTTTTTATTCTATTTAACGTATTGATTTTGCCTTCAAGAATTTCTCTTTAGAATCTGCAAATGGCATTTTATACGTTTTTTTTCATTTATTGTCATTTAATAGAACTTTAGTTTTTATGTGTATTAAACATAGACTGATCTTTCAGAACGTCAAAATGTTAGAAAATTCAATACTAAAAAAGTGGTGCTAAAACATCGATTTGGGTATAGAAAAAAGATTGTATACAAAATTGCTTGCAGATAAGAGAGTACAGAGAAGCTGGTGCACCCTGTATATACGAGGGGCCGTCCTCAAACCAATGCCGAGATCACATGTGATTTCGTTTTCTTCCCATGAGAGCCTTTATCCAGGCGGCTGCGAGGCACGATGAACAGCCGAGATTCCCAGGCACGATTAGCCGCGGCGCCTTCGCAAAAGTCGACTTGCGAGGTTGAAACAACGTCTCCGCGCTCGCTGCAGTAAGGAGAGGAACGTCCGGCCCGAAATCCAGAGGGCCGTGTGACTTCGACGAAGGGGAACGCGCGCGAAAGAAATTATTGATCGGTGTGCTCGCAGGAATGATCGCGTTCAACTAAGCGTTCGGCATTCGCTCTTAAACCAATTTCTCGGGTCACCCGGTACGTACCCGGCACTTCGTAACCCGCTCTGCGAATCGGGAATGCCCCTGCGGGGCTGCGGTTATATATTACAGCTAGTAATGAAGACTCTCCGCGGCAAGAGCGAGCTACCGACGAGGCCTTGTTTATCGCCTCACCTCAAATATACAATTAACATGTTGAGAAGGCGCCCGGAGATAGCGGAATATTTCACCTCTTCCTTCCTTCCTTCCTTCCTTTCTTCCTCCTTGCCAATTTCTTCAACCCCTTTTGCGCGACAAAGAAACTGCGCGGCAAGACTCGAATACTGACTCGCGCGCGCGTTCGAGTTCGAGTTGGCGCGCGCGCGCGCGCCTTTCACTTTTATTATCGCGCAGCTCGTTAGAGCGACCGTTCCGAGAATGTTAACCCGGAATTCGTCGCTCGAGGGAATTTAATGTCCCTCTATTTTTACGGGACTTAGCTCGTAACGCGAAAATGTGGCGACGGCGTCTCAGTAAATCCTAATAGAGTGGGGATGTAATTAATATGCTCATTCTTCAATTTGTCCAGCGCTTAATTCGGGACGTTATTACCTTACGAAATGATAAACTCGATTTTCTATGCCATTAACGTTCCATTCGCGGCTGTTGGCCGGTACGGCGCGGATGCTATTTAATAATTTAGCGCGGCGGTCTAATTATTCGGAAAATCAGATTTTGTTTAATTCAGCCCCAACGTATTTATCCACAGAGGTAAATCCGACGACACCGCGTGTGCGTGTGAAGGCACGCGGATACGCGCATGTCAGGAATAAACACGACTGCCGCCGTGTAAACATCGCCGTTTTAAAATTTATAACAAATAAATATGCGTGTGCGAATAAAACGTCGTATCAATAACTGCGAGTTTCGGGCTATCCGTCCCGGCAGATTATTGGATCCTGTTTATCGTATAAATCCAGTGACAGGTACAAAAAATATTGTACGACGCGTCGAAATAAAATATCACCGCGTCGAATCGGCCATACGCGCGATTTCTCGGGGCAATAAAAAAAAGCCCGTTCCGTGATGGAATGTTCTGAATGAATGCATGATGCGCTGTTGACCCCGATGCAAAGGCGCCATTTTTATCGCGCTGATGTCGGATGACGTGCGGCGCATTATTAAATATCATTAAAGAGAAACGCTACAGGGCCCGCGGGAAATCGTACGGCGCGACTTGCATTTCGCCGTGAATAAATTTCATACGTTTTCGCGTAAAATACTTTCGTACCGTATCGGGGGTGTCGCCGATTCTCCTTCCACCAGCGATATCAAATCGTATTGTGTGTGAAATATTAAAATCGCACATGTAAAATTCACGTAAATGAACACTTTTTATGATACGACGCGATGACGTCGCAATTTTGCGATCGCATGCATCGCAATCGCCTCGTTTGTTTTCCATCGACGATTAACCGATTAACCGGTAATTACCGAGAATAAGGAGAATGCGGTACGGAATAATTGCATCGTAATAGCAGTGCAATGTCCGTAATCTCTCGACAGACAAC